TAAAATATTAACTGCTTACTACTAACATACAATATCTTATAGTTTCAGACTTTTCTATACTTACCATTCTTATTGTTACATTGTGTATATCCCTTTGAGGAAGGTATTATAAAAAGTGGACTTGTTAAGTAATAAATACCTTACTTGTATAATAAGTATTAAACTATTATATCTATTTAGTAAAATCCTTATTATGTACTCAATGTTGTTTGTCTTCCTACATTTAAAAATAAATGTTTCTCAAAATGCATTGAACACACCCTGGCATGCCTTGAAGGCTTACAATTTGGTCTTCTGCAAGCTTCAATCCAATTTTGAAGTTCATGTTCATGTGATGAAAATCTAAAATATAAACACAATTACTATAACACTTTTTTTTAAATTTCATATTTTAATTTGGAAAATTGAGGTCATCATTATGATAATAATATGATTGTCATATGGAATAACAATATTTTATGAAGAAAAAACATATTTGGCCGAGATTTATTGATAAAATTAGTTATATTATCTACTATAAACTCAAACATTTCTAATCAAATATATAGCACAATTTTTAGTGATTCTAAATACAGAAATGATATTCAATTAAGTCATCTTCTAGATGTAATTTAACATTACATTACAGTAAATTTAACGGTATTTTAATATAATCATGCAAAATTTTACTGAGAGGCTTTAAATGCTAATATATTTTAGGTTACAAACTTGGATTTATTTTAATCAAAAGATAAAAAACTGACCAATTGTTTTTTTAAATCGCATTTTGTAGTCAATGTACTTACAAAATAGTTGAGTTTCAAACATTTTGATATTTGTTTAACAGAATATTGATAATTTAATTTTAAAGCACTTTGAGGGGAGATTTGAGGTTATATTAAGGAAGCCCGCCCGCCCAACCTTGGTGGTACAATAAATCAGTACAGAGTAGAAAGTTTATAACTACTATAAACAGATTGAGATTTGGTCATGGTCAGTTTCGCACTCACCTGCATAGATTGAAGATGGCAGATGATCCAAAATGCCCTGATTGTAAAGAAAATGAAGATGTACAACATATCATATTCAAATGTAAACGGTTTGGACTACATCGCTTGGTGCTTGTTAGCGAACTTGAAGCAATCACCAAGAACATACCATCAACGCTGGAAGAATTATTAAAAGACTACAAATACTTTAAACCGTTATTCAAGTTTGTTGTCAACACTGTCAAAAATATCTGAGTGAGAAGAAAGAACAATGAACGAATTTTTAGTCTTGTAATCTATCAAAAAACTATGTAAGGCTTAAAAGGGCTAGTATCCAGAGCCGTAAACACTAACAATAAGAAAAAGAGGTTATATTCTTATTCAACTTATTTAATAATATTTTTAGCTTGTTTTGTGTCGTATTTAATAAAATTCACATCGGTTATGGCAATGAGAAATTTTACCTTGACGAAGAAATAAACAAAATGCTTCTAACTTACCTGAAATATGATACACCTACAATATTTCTTTCGGATCTATTTTTGCAAGATATAACACTGCACTTAATTATTATTTTAATTTGCAAGTAACGTTTCTTAATTATAAACTCTATACATCATATAAAATATTGTTTAAATACACTTATTTCCAACTTTTTTCTATATTATTTGAGTCCAACAATTTCTATGCCTAAAATTTTGACGTTTTGGTGCCAAGCAAGCCTGGTGCCAAACAAAACAACCGGCCACACCCGATAAGGACAACAAATAATGTTTTTATCTCACTTTAACTAATGAAAATTGTTATAAGTCATTTAATTTCCCGATGAATGAGATAGAACATACCATTAGTCTATTGCTTTCTCTGTGTACGATTAGAGCTAAGTACTTACATTTTTTTAAGTTTTACCGGCCTCGGCTTCCATGGCCTTCAGCTGACTTATTTATTAAACTGTATGGAATGAATACTGGATGTATAGAATGACTACAAAGGCGTTCCGAAGAGTAAAGCGACATCAGAGGGTGTTACAAGTGTACCAGAATCTGATGGCAAATCGAGAAATTTCAATATCTAGATTAGGCAACATTGGGGAAAAATAGGTAAAAACATCTTGAAACTTATATTTTTATGTAATATAAACTTTTCAATAAATGCCTTATAGCATTAAACATACTCCTGACCTAATTCGGATAATGGCAATTTTTGACATAAATTAGTCAATTGCGTGAGAAGTAACAAAGAACACAAACACACCTGTACACTCTATATGTCAATGATATTAATATGTCTAGATACGCAATACATACCAAAAATCTGAAGCTACTAAAACTAAGACGTTTGTCTTAGTTTTTTCGTTTTTCACTTCATTACTCATTCAACTCCCGCCAAGAAAGTACAAAAAAATGCTCCGCAAAAACAAAGAAAAACAGTAGATAAAATACGATTCTCTTTCACAAATACACATAATACGAAAGAATATTAAGTTTCACACTTAAGTCATTAACATTTTTGGCAATAAATACAAAATTAAAGCTAGGTTATAAAATAAAAATATTTAATTTTCACAAATAAAATTTCGACATTTTGTCGTCAGTGTTGCCACTGCTATTCACTTTCAATTTTCCCAAGTATATGGGAGCCTTTTCTTTTTATTTTACGTGGCTATAATTTATCTAAATATCTTTTTATAATTAATTATATAGCTCAGCTTAAGTATAGGCAACTGCGCTAATTGTGTTGATAATTTTTTTATACACGCACACAGATGCTAATGTGATTTAATTTTTTCAATGCGTGGAATTCGTTAGTTATCGAGATACAACTTTTGAAAATACGTAAAATTGAACCTTTGTTTGATGTTTTATGAACTTTGACAAATGTTTTTGTCTTAACCACTGACTTTATCGAAAAACAAAGGGATATATATGCACAGAGCCTACTTTCGTGATTGTTTTTTTTTTCAAAGAAATTTTCAAAGTTACAGTATTTTACTAATTGATTTTATACATATATCTACACTACTCGTTCATTCATTCATTCATCACAATGGGTGAAATTTTCGACAGCTGGCAATACAATATCAATTACCCATTTTTCCGTTCATTTTACCGTTCGCACATATTCTGTCTTTGTTTAATTTAAAGTTTAATCGTAGATATGAGGGAGACAAATATAATAAATCTATATATAATATATAGTATAAATATTATTTGCAAAGCTACGTCCTGATTTCGGAAAAGTGCTACGCTTTTTGGCGCGTCTGTTGTATGGGATTGCTTCTCTAGTTATTAAACTCATTGCTATATGTGTACAGATGTGTGTTTGTGTTTTATGGTGTTGACATCTAACATCACTCGACTAACAAAAAAAACTCAATAATATTCTACCTGACTCGGAACCTAACACGAATAAATAAAAGAAGCTTTATTTGATATATTTTTTTAGTACTAATCTTTAGAAGAAGAAAATAATTCTTTTTTTCACCGTTCCTATTTTCCCTCGGAGTGTAAAAATGCCTTCATATCTTCTCCTTCACTAATAATTCATTCTATTGTGTTATTCGACACACCAACGAATATTTACTAATGAATTCTTTAGAAAAAAAATTAATATCAAGGCAAGACGTTGCTAGTTACCGATCAATTTTTGCGCAGCCTTTTATGCGCGATTTTGACTATTTAAACTTTAACAATTATTTTCATCGAAAATAGAACAGATCCCCATCACAGATCCCCATGAAATATATTGACAGTGTGTTTATAATAATCTAATGTAATAAGTTAATAACTTATAATATTATTTACCGAATAGTTTTAAAACCTATAAATAAAAAAGTTATAATTTTCCATTATTTGTAATATATGTCTCACGTCATATGAAACACCAATCAGAGCGCGTTACTTCATTTGTGGGTAAATTGTTAGTAACACTATCTATAAAAAGCGTAGAAAACATTCAAAGTGCAAAATAATCTTAATAATTTCCTTGACTAGGGCCAGTTTACTGTTTTATTTATTTGTGAATTTAAATAAGTACTGCATACGATAATATTTTTTTATTTTATTGAATATACTTTTTGTTTACTACACAAATGACATCACGTCCTCAGAGTGACCATTTACGCGGTTTTTTAAATCAGTTAAATTTTAAACATAGTTTTTGGGTACATAATGAAGTTTATTTATAATTTCTTTTTTGTAGGGAATAAACCCATAATGATTGATTTAAAACAGTTTTAGAAAGTTATCCGATCTTCTATACGAGTAAATCTATATACGAGTGTTTGTTCTTTATTTCCACTCATACATTTCGAAATAGCGTAAGCAAGTCAGTTGGGCAGATTACTTCAAATATTAGTACGATGTCACTGTCTATATTCGTATTTTAATATTTATTTAAATGCCTTTTAATTTTACACAAAATATTTGGGGATCCAAAATTAGAAGTTAGCAACGCTGAGATGTTTGACTGCAGCATCACGTCTGCGAGACTTCTTTCGTGAGACGAACTCTACTTCGTGAGGATGGCGCTTGCAACAGTGCCAAAATATCGGCACTTGACAAAAACAAGGTACATTGTAGCAATCCTGCAAAAAGCTAACATTCTAATTTAAATGACTGTGAAGCTTAAAAGAATATAGTGTTTATTATATTAAAAATATTACAAGTATTGAGATATCTTTATCCTTTTTCCCTAATGTTGCCTTCTACAAATAAAAAAAATCTCCGATTTGTCATCAGTTTTTGATACACCTTTAGCATTCGCTGTTCAGCGCAATAGCTTAAAGCAAAATGTTTCGTCATAAAGGGGTCAGAATAATAAGTTATAATTCTGGGATTCTTATGATACCCAGGGCACACACGTCCATTAAAATTGTCATTAGTTTAAAACAAAAATTTAGATCATTCACTACAGGTTATTGACAAAATATTACTTATGTAGACAATTTTAGGGTTGCAAAATTATTATTCCAGGACCACATAATTTTTTTTAAATACGACCGTTTCTAATAAAATTTAAATCGTTCCATGGACAACTTAACTCTATTGAGTTTTGTCAATTTCAACTTAGTCTTTGGTGCTTCAGTTGGAGAAGATATCAATTTTTTTTAGATTTTGAACCCAGATATATATTGTTTTTCTCTTGTTTCATTGAGAAATAAGCTGTTTTAAGTTTAGTTATATTGTGTTCATGAATAGTGCCAATCAAATAAAGTAATACACCCGTAAAACAGGATTATATATTTTGCATATTTGTGATCAAAGTGACTCGTGTTTATTCCTCATGTTGTGATATTTCTACAATAGTTTAGTTGTACAATGGACATCGACGTTAGTAAAGAGAATATCCAGCCTCTAAGAGGTGGTAGAAATCTTGTGCAGCTGGGCGCAGCGCTTCAAGCCCAATCAGATTTCGATGCCCAAAAACAGCTGCAACTGCAGAAAGAGTAGGTTTTCTGTTATGATTCTAATAACAGTTATTGTCGTTGGATTTCAGTATAAAATCCTTGTTCTTTCTAAATAGATTTTGCATTTTCATTTTATTACTATTTGCGATGATAAAGCAAGGGGCTTTACTCTTTTCAGAGAACATGAGACAGCTATTAGAAGCTACCAAGGCTCCGATCCTTTAGATCCATGGTTTAACTATATCCAGTGGGTAGAACAGTCTTTCCCTAAGCATGGCCATGAAGGGAATATTGATAAAATTATTAAAGACTGTTTGCAATTATTTGAGAAAGACGAAAGATATTTTCAGGATAGGAGACTTGTGAAGTTGTGGATCAAATATGTAAGTGATAAAAAACCCTTTAAGGATTACTCACATATCTTTCTTGGTTAATAATAGATATAAAATGTTGCTATATTTGTCATTTTATGATATTTTCATAGCATATGAAATATATTACAGTTTAATCTGGAACAGTTAGAATTATATATATTATATGATATTTTAGGTTGACTGTCTTTCTAATCCATTGGAAATATATCAAAGATTGTATAATACTGGCATAGGAGTTGAATGTTCAGAATTCTACAGAGCTTGGGCATGTTATTGTGAAGAATCGGGAGATTATAAAAAGGCAAATCAGGTCTATATGCTTGGACTTCAGGCTAAAGCTCAGCCTATTGATGAACTTGAACAGGCCCACATGTGAGTTTTGTATCTCATTATTTGAGAACATTCTTCTACAAAATTATATAATTAGCCAGTCATTCATATAATACATACATTTCTGTAACATTATTGTGTAAAAATAAGATAGGGAATATAGCTATGAGGGTGGGGTGATAAATAGTTAGCCTAACATAGAATAACTTGAATTAGTGTGTTAAAAGTATATTTATTTTTCAACATAATCTCCTTGAAGCGCTATGCACTTCATCCATCTATGCTCTAAAGCCTTGATGCCATCCCTGAAGTGGTTTTCTTCAAGCCCTTCAAAATAACTGTCCACGGCAGACATCACCTCGCTATTATTTTCAAATTTTTATCCACCTAAAAAAATTTTGAGCTAAGGGAATAGATGAAAGTCAGATGGTGCAAGATCAGGAGAATAAGCTGGGTGTGGTGGCAAATCATAATATAATTTTTTGAATTTTGCCATCGCAGTGATGCATGTGTGAATGCACGCATTATCCTGATGAAATTTTTTTTTTATATACAGACCGGGTCTTTTTTCATGAATACACACTTGTAATTTAGCCAGTAGATCAGCATAATATTCGCCATTTATGTTTTGTCCTTTTGGAAGGTAATCACTTTGAATCCCAAAATACTGACGCCATGACTTTCCCCATTGATTTCACAGCTTTTGCTTTTTTTGGAGCCTGGAATCCTTTTTCTGTCCATTGTTTAGACTGAATTTTTTATTTAGGTATATAGTGATGAACCCAAATCTCGTCTGTAGTAACAAACTGTCGCAGAAAATCAGTTGATTGGCTCTTAAAGAGGTCCAAACATTCTTGTGAAACGCGTTTTTGGTCAACTGTAAGCATTCGTGGCACCCACCTTGCGGATAATTTTTTCACACATAATTCTTAAGTCAAAATGTAATGCGCTCGTTCTTTTGAGATGCCTACAGTATCAGCTATCTCAGAAAGTTTCAATCTTTGGTCAGCTAAAACTGCATCATGAGTTTTGATTACAATTTCTGGAGTAGTGGCACTTTTTGGATGTCCTGGACGATGTTCATCTTGGGTGCTGGTATGGCCACGTTTAAATTCAGCCACTCAATTTTTATGGTTGCATATGAAGGAGCATTTTCTCCCAAAACATCCTTCATCTCCGAAAAAATCTCTCCACCTTTTAATTCTTTTAAATGCAATAACTTTATCACAGCTCGTAGCTCAATTTTATCCATTTTACAGAAAAACAAAAGAATGCTTTTTGAAATGTCAATATTTTAAAGAAAAACTATATGATCGATTTGAAATTTGGAACACGGCAGCTAGTGAACCAATGACTAACATACTAAGGAGATTTTATATCATTATTATACAAAATATGGGTTGGGCTAGCTATTTATCATCCCGCCTACATATAACTAAGACACTACTTTTACTATTCTTAACATAATAACTGTATCTAAGTATCATAACTTTTTAAGATTATTTTACAGTTAATTTTAGCTCTGTATAAATGATGATTCAATTGAAGAACTCTGTTTAGATTATTATTTGTAAAGTCAAAATTTTTCATATTATTTTTATTACAGGAATTTTCAGTTGTTTTTTGCACAAAGAATGTTACATGATGATTCACCAACTAAAAGAAAGGCAGCATCTGCTCTGGCTGAAACTAGAATGGCTTTAACATCTCTTAAATCATTTAAAAGACGTAACATTGCCAATGTACCTGTGCAAAGAATTGGAGATAGTATCAAAAGCACAATACCTGGTGTTGTAAAGCAGCAAACAAATCAATTTGATAATAGAATGCCCAATTCTAATGTTATGGTTAACATTTTTGAGGTAAATGTTAATAGGTATTTAGATATAGTCGCATATTCTCAAGTGCTTTAATATGCATGCATGTCATTAATATAGGTATTTTGAGACTGGGGACTAAATATTGTGTACTAACTCAGAACAGTGTTGTTAAGGACAGCATAAAAATGGTTTCTCAATAAGTCAAATTGTTTCATTCATCTGGTATATTTTTAAAACACAAATTCATGAACAAGAATTGTTAAATACATTTAATGATTTTCATTAATTGAATTATGTAGTAGCTCTTCATGGTTATTATTTGAGTTAGTAGATACCTATCTGATGTAAATCATCATATGATCCTGTAAAATTTGTTGGTTGACAATGTGCAACTGTTCTGATTTCGCTATAGAAATTAAATATTTTGTAGGATGCACCTTCTACATCTAATGCCATTCCTGTTGTGGAAAATCCTGGTCCAGCCTCATTAGTTCAGGCATGTAGTAATGTTGAGAATGAAAAAGAAGTTGGTATATGGACTAATCCCAAGACTAAAATGGTACATACAAATCTAGTGCCTCACCAGCCATTGCCTTTCACTCGTAAGTTTTTGATGTGTTATTAGAAATGTTTAATTTTTGCAGTTCAACTAGCCTAACCAGACTGTAACTTGATACTGGTGGCCCCCCTCTCCAGTGTTCAAGATAAATTGTTAAATAAGGCTTTTAATGGATTTAGTTTTTGATTAGCTCATAAGATCCATATAATCAATTTACACTCTTTTTTACTTTAGATTTTTTTACTGGTGGAACATAATCATATTCTTATGATTTTCCTACCCCTTTAAGTTGCCACTTAGAGTGTATACTCCCCAGTTTATCCTCTCAAGAGTAAATGATGCCATAGGTGAATAACTTGTGTTGATTCTTAATTGAAGACTTTCTTTTAATACAGCTTATGAAGATGAAGATGATGTGTTGAAACTTCCTGCTAATCACATGTCACACTGTCCAGATGATTTATCATTTAATGCACCTCTTTGTGTACCTGATCCTCCAGACCCTACGAAAATTTCTTGTTACAATAAAACCCAAGTAAGTACACAACAAATTAAGAAACAGATTTTGAAAATAAGGCCTTTCTTTATATGTTTATCTAAAAAAATTTCAGGTTTATGTTGATGACCAGGAATACAGTTTGGAAGAAATCAGATCTAGAAAGTTCAATTTAGCCAAGAAAGTCAAAACAGAATATCCATCTGAGGTAAAACGCCATCAATCTTATCACAACATAAATGAAACTCTTGCTCAGTGTAGTGCACTAGAAACTTTAGCGAATTGTGCATTAGATACAGAACAGGATCATTTAGGTCAACTAATGCCATTGAGCATTCCAACTTTGCAAAATATTACAAAAGTTACGAATATGCATTCACCGGGCGAGCCAAAAGTTTTGGTCAATTTGGATTCAAAAGAATTCAGTGTAAATAAAAGTGATGAAAATCAACGTCCTATTGAAAATAATTCTAATAAAGAAAATAACATTGGGAAATTCACATCTACTGACAACTATAACAATGACCATGGACCAGGGAGTTATGGTAAAAATAATCTCATGGAAGAATTTAATAGAAGTTTGATGGGGAATCTGCTGGGTGATTCAGTAACTGTAAATACTAAAGAGGCACGTTGGGAGCTTCGGAATTTATTCAATGATAATGGTAGGTTTCTATATTTTTTAATTGTTTTGATCTAATAACATTAATTATTAAATTTATTAAAAAAATATTTTGTTTTGCAGAACCATCAATGGTGCAACCTGTTATGCAGCAGTTTGAAGTTCCCAATTTCGATATACATGAGGATAGATCTATTACAATGGCTATTAATACCAAAAAGAAACAAGAACTAATTGATGTTAAAGATTTGCTAGAAGAAAAAGAAAATGCCAATAAATTCAGTGTTCCTGTAGCAGCTCCTCCACAAAATGTATGTAAAAAATATGGACATTGTAAATTATATTTGGTACATAAACAATATTGGTATTCATTATTATTATTTTTTTCCCAGGTTAACAGAACTGCATATTATGAAGAGCCTTCCTGTACACAAGTTTTCAACTTTAACATTAAAGATGCTAGTACTCCGAATATGTCTCAATTTAAAAAACCAAATTCTATTGATCAATCAAAATTCCCAAATGTCCCAAAATTTAGTATGGATGAAAGTGTTATTGAAAATGTAGAAAATGGCATGACAAAGAAGGAAGACAGCATTAGACAAATTACTACTGACCAACATGCTACAGTAGACAATCAAGGTGGAGGACTATCTGTTATCATGGAAGCCACGCGGGAATATAATAGGTATTTAATATGACTATTATATTTATCGAAATACTTATTGAAATATTATTTTCGTACTTATGTTCCTAACAAACAAAGTACAGAGGTTTCTAAATTATTTGGGGCAATAGAGGGCCTTCATAGGTAAATTATTGACATGATATAGTTTTCTATTGATATAATTACTTAGCAATTTAAAAACTTTTCATTTGGTTTATTGAGTATATTTGACATCATTTCGTTATCATAATTTAACAAATAAATAGACATAAAATACAGTAAATATCAAGTGTAATTAATAAATAATTACTACAAATTACGTAAGTAGGAATGTCTTTGTAAGACATGTTATATAGTAGGTATCTTAATACTTTGCAATGCGTGTTTGTTATAGTTAATTAAAACCGATTTTTAGACATGTCGACTTCCAAAATTAAGCGCTTATTCTCTAATTTTAAAATCTATCGCAATCCATTTCAATTTGACATATGATAGCTATTCACAAACTTCACGCTGCCACTATTTGACATGTGATAGCGATTGCGATCGAAACGTCGTATTAAAAGATATCGTTAATCTAATTGTTAGATGCAATTAATTACCTCAAGTTACTCAGTTTTATAATATTTCTTGATCATTCAAATCATCATAGTTACGAATGCTATTGCAACTTTAAAAGTTACAAAATTCCATTAATTTCTAAGGGATTACGATAGATTTAAAAATTAGACAATCACGCCAGTTTTCGTTTATGAATTTTTGTTACCGCAAATATCGTGTTTCAGCTTATAAACGTCAAATAACAATACAATTTTTTACTGGTTCGTGTGTTTTATCAAATGGTATCAATACTGAATGAAAATATATTCACTTTTTATCCAATTAGTTTGTGTAATGGATCATAAAAATAGTTTGATGCTTTTGTTTCAATGCACTACCATCCCAATAGTTTCAATAGTATATAAAATAAATAGTACATTTAAAATTGAAATGTATTTATTTCAGCAAATCTGGTTCAAGTTCTTCTGGTCAATCAACAAGGACTAATTTTACTGGATACACAACAAACTTCGATTCTATTTACAACAATCATAATGACCCTATGCAACAGCCCACATCTTCAAAACGAAGTTCTTTATCAACACAACCGCGATTACCTAGTGGTCAATTTGCACGTGTTTATCCTCAGAAACGCGAGCAACCGGAGAGCAAGCCAGTTGTTCCACCGTCAGCAGTACCGTATCTGTCTCATGACCACCAGTATCAGAAGCCAATGCCTAATAACTTTAATGGTTATTCTCCTCAGAGATCAGTTCATTCTCACTATCCCCAGAATTTCAACTACCAACAGGGTTATACAAGTAATCAAATGATGAACCAACAACAACAACAGGGTTATAGCAGTCCTAGTTCTCATGCTTATCATAGTCCTCAGCATACTGGTATGCAGAGTCCACATGCTATGAGCCCTAGTGTGCCTCCTGGCTTTCAAAGTCCTACATTTTCCAATCAAGTAGGGTATCATAGCCCAGGGCATGCAATGATGAGTCCACAAAATTCTTATGCGGGAAGACAAGACTATCACTACCCTAGTCAAACAGATAGACAACATGTTTATGCTACTCAGCAACAACAACAAAATCCTGCTGTATTCCAAAGTCCTCCACATCAACCACAATATCAAAATAACCAATATTATCATAGACCTAGTCAAGTGGCTGCTTCGCCAAGTCAATCATACAATCAACAAAATTATCCTAATATGCATAATCAATACAATAACGCTAATGTATATTCCAACGTCAATAATCAAACATATAATTCTATGCAAAGTCCCTATAGACAATCGCCTAAATCAGCTCCGGAAAATAATCCAACTGCATATGGTGTGCAAAACAACCAACAGTTTCAGATATACCAAAGTCCACAACAGTCTCAAAATAATATCTTAAATACCGATGTTCATAAAACTAACGTGACCACAGAAACATCAGAAACACAAGTTAAACAAGAATCACATATTCATATGAAACATCAAGAAACTCCAAATGAACAAAGCAGCAAATTAACTTCACAGGCAAAAAATATTGCACCACACAAAAGTCCTACTTCGGCATTGCGTCACATCAGGCACGACCAGCCTGCCACAAAACATAGTCAAAACTCGTCTGACATTGGTTTTTCGAATCAGTTCCTTAATTTCATTTCCAACAGAAATGAACCGAAAGACAACGCAAACACTCCGAAGTTTACAAACAGTCCAAGTATTTCACAAAAGATGCATAAAAATCTTTATGTTTCAAGTCCAGAGCAGGCTCAGATACCGCCATCTTCAGGTCTTTCGGATTCTGATAGCAAAGACGGCATGACTGCGCAGACTATAACATCAATCCAGTCAGCTAAAGTCTCACACAGTATTTCTGAAAAGCATAAGGATATATCTAAAAGACAACTTGATTTCGAACATCGTGCTGATCTACAATCTGAAGATAGCAGGGATTCTGTTAGTAAGGATAGTAGAATCTCGTCAGTGTACTCAAGACAATCTGACTTCCAATCGGATGGGTATGGTATGGATGTAGACAGTGAAAATTCTATGGAATGTGGCGCTTTTAAATCTACACATTCTATATCTTTAGTAGAAACTAGTGATATACCAAGACCTGCCGATATTGACTTTCCTAGAGTAATTGACCCATTTAATAAAAAGATAATTACGTCTCTTTTGGAATACGTTAAATTTCCTAATAAAACTCATGCTGATGGATATATAGAGGTGAGATCTGTACCTAAATTGCAACCGGCAACTATGATTAGCATCGGAAATAATAAATTTTCTATTGAGAAACAACTCGGCAAAGGAAACTATGGGGCAGTTTTTCTGTGTCTTGATATCCATACTAATAAAACTGTGGCTGTAAAGTATCAGAAACCTAGTCGACCTTGGGAGTTCTATATTTGTCAAGAAATAAAGGCAAGAATAAAGGACCCATTCATGGTTAGTATACTGTATACTCTGCTATCTTGGATTATCAGCATCTATTGCTATTAAAATATATTTAATTTTCAGCTCCCAGGCTATATGGATATTACAACTGCATTTTTAGGAGACAATGCTAGTTTATTTGTATCGGAATATTCAAAATATGGATCTTTACTAGATGTTGCTAACAGAGTTAAAATTGCTACTTCGAAATGTATAAATGAGCTTATAGTAATTTTATTGACTTCTGAGATGCTGTCTATTGTACATTATCTTCACAAGGCTCAGATAATACATGCAGATATCAAACCAGACAATTTTTTACTCATGAAAATGTGAGTAGCAACTATTTATTAATTATTATTTTTATGATAAAAACTACAAAACATGAGTTACAATTAGCACACATAAACAAAAAAACATTATTTTATTATTATATTTGATCAACTTTACATTTACAATGCTATACTATAAAATATTCTTAATGAAAAATGCTTAAAAATATGAGAGCAGAGCTCGGATTGCGTAAGATCGTTGGTTCGAATCCCATCTCAGAATATCAGGGACAAGGTGGATTTTTAAGCGTTTTTCATTAAGGCCATTTTATGTTATACATATTTTAAGAGTACAACTACTATTACAACTATGTAGGGTAGACAAGAATGTTTTAGGGTGTATAAAATAAACAGCTTATAATCCTAAATTTATTGTTTATGTATATATTATTTATGTATTGATTGGGAAATCTGAACTGTGCTGTGATAAGCAATGTTAATTTAAATTTAATTGTCCTAATATATAAAATCGTGTAAATTTCTTGAATAAATCCATTTTTATTTACAGACCTACTCAAGAATGGCGAACGCCGTCTTTACAGTTAATTGATCTGGGATGTGCTATTGATATGTCATTGTTTCCAGAAGGAACTACTTTTAGAGAGGTATTTTTTTTTCTTAAACAATACTTTATATTTATCTTTGGTGTATTAAATTTTCATTTCTTTATAGTTAATTGCAACTGAAGGATTTACATGTACTGAGATGAGAGAAGGGAAACCGTGGACATACCAAACTGATCTCTATTGCCTAGCAGGCACTATACATGTTATATTAATGGGAAGCTACATGAAAGTAGTCAATCGCTTGGGCCAATGGAATATAGATAAAAAATTACCAAGGTAAGGCCAATTCTTAGTTGTAGGCTAGAGTGGGTAGGTTAAAACAGTTTAGCTATGTCTATTGTTCTTAACTTTTAGAATTTCATACTGGTTTTTATGTACTGTATTCTTACACAGTGGTAATAGGAGCTGAGTTGAGAATTGAGTGGTGCATAAAATATAGTTTTAGAAAATTTTACTTTTGACTATCTGATACATTCAAGGCTACCCGGTAGTGATAATAAGATGATTCTATTTACCTTTGTACTTTTCGTGAGACATTAGTTTTGTTTAAATGGACCCAGCCTACTCAATCAATTATTTATTTTAATTATTGGTGATAATTCTGTTGTAATACTCTCTTAATTAAACTAAAACAATTTTTATTTTAATATAATCACTATACAAATGTTAGCTCTTAGTATAATAATCTTACTTCTGTTATCTTAGTTATTTAGACAACTAAAAACACAAGATTGAAAGGATTAAAACTAAATTTCGACTAGTTTTCAGTAAAATAAATAATAACAGTTGCTACCAATTGTAATTAAATATATAATTAAAAATTATATAGTGTTTTATCTGCCTACCTGATTATGTTAGTTACTTACCTCTTGGCATTATGGACCAATTACACTAGGCCATAGGAGGAGTACTAAGTATTCAATATAGAATTTATATGATTGCCTAAAAAAGTGTATGGTGTTTTATATATTCAATTATTTAATATTTTTATTTTTAGGTATATGAAGGTGTCCTTATGGGATAAGGTATTTACTACATTATTGAATGTACCAGATTGCAATAATTTGCCAGACATCATGGATCTCAAAAACGAAGTAGATAGTGTATTGAATGAAATTGATAATCTTGGCTTTCAACTACACAATTTTGCTAATGTGCTTAAATCTAGGTAAATCACGTAAGCGATCTTAATGTATTTATTGCATTTAGTTATAATGGCGATTGTAAAATAGACATTCATTATGTATTATTAAATATAGAAATACAAATTATTTCTAAGTTTAATGAGCTACAATAGGCCCCTTCGCCAGGTTATTAAAAGATTAAACTCTTTTGAATATAATAAAAGCAATAAGTATTAAAATATCAGAATCTACTACTTAGCTATATAAACTTGTCTTGTTGTGTTTAGTTATAATTGTGATATATGTGATTTTTTAGTTTGTTTTGTTAATATAATGAATTAAAAGTTGGCTTAGAGAAATTACTCGTTAGTTGAATAATGTTGAGACATTATCTACATTTCATTTATTTTTGTACAACAAAATAAGCCTTGCACATTTCACATTTCTTGTTTGAATTGTAATAAAGTAATAAACAATTACCTGGTTGAAAATTCGTTTTATTATTAAAGCTGAGTTTCTGTAGAAAGGCTGCTCAAAGATTCCACCTTGGGAAAACTGTGGTTATTTTTAATGAAAAATGCTTGAAAAATCCACATGGACCCTGGCACCCGGAGATGGGTTTCGAACCCATGAACATTCGCAATCCAGGCGACTGCTTTAACCACTGAGTTACCCAGGACCTAAGAGGGCTGACGAATCTTTCAAGCACTTGTTACTTTTCGCTACTACAGAACATATTCTAATCAATGTTCAGGCAATCCAGCCAAACAGAAATATTATTACAAATATTTAAACTTCGCTTTAACCACTGAGTTACCCAGGACCTAAGAGGACTGACGAATCTTTCAAGCACTTGTTACTTTTCGCTACTACAGAACATATTCTAATCAATGTTCAGGCAATCCAGCCAAACAGAAATATTATTACAAATATTTAAACTTCCAATAGACGATATTTTGTTGAGCATTTTTATTATGAATATTTTTCAGTATAGTATTGTGAATGTGAAATTGATCAAATATAATAAACTAAAGTCATTGTTGAATAGCTCGGTGGCGTAGTGGATAAGCGCCGCGGCCCGCGATCGTTATCGTTAAGTAACTTTCGCAAGGGTCGGTCACGGGATGGGTGACCAAAAATTATTATCTCGAGCTACTCCGTGCTTCGGAAGGCACGTTAAGCCGTTGGTCCCGCCTGCATTTGCAGTCGTTAATATCCTCCAATCCGCATTGGGCCAGAGTGGAGGGTCATGGCCCATCCTCCTTAACCATCCATAAGGAAGGCCTGAGCCCCTGCAGTGGGGACGTAAAAAGGCTGGTGATGTGATGATGATGATGATGATGAACAATAGTACAAAGGGTACAAATGAACTTTATTATCAACAAAAAGACTTAAAATCAACTGAAATGGAATTTGTATCAATGTGACATACTTGCAAATGCCTTTATGCTTCTTTATTCAATACAATTTTACTATTTCTTTTAAATTGTATCTAATAAATGAATGAATGAAAGATGTATGGCATGGACTTATAATAATATGTATTTTGTTGAGACACATCTGCATGTCAGGTTACCATAATATGTCAAATTTGATTTAAAACTAGTTTAAGGTTTAAAATGAAATCTGTCTTAATTTCTCACTTGAAGGTTTAACCTTAACACATTGAGGATAGATATTAAAATTAAATGCTAAATTTGACATATAGTAGCCTGCTAATCAGCCCTGGCCCCTGTGCATGTACATATACTTCTATGGAATGTGAAATAAAACAATTTTTTTAAATTAGTTTTGATAATTTTTCAATTCTCTGTTTTTTCCTTTCCTGATATTCTTGTACATTATCAAATTTCCTTTTGTATAATATTTTTATAGCATCTAAACTTAACCTAGAATTGAAAGTGACAATTTTATCCTCAAACATTGTTATCTTTTTGTCTATCTGAAAAGTTATTTTATCATTACAATTTATAATTGACATAATTGAAACTATATAATCAACATCATCATATAAAAGCAAAGCACCTTTGATGAACACCATTGCAGCAGGAAACCTCTTGAGCAGTAGCATTTCTTCTTTTTGATGTTTGAACTGGTTATCATTTGTTTCCAACTTATAAATTAGAATTTTATTAAAACTATGTATCATTGAGGCAATCAAGCTTGACTTTTTATCAAGTTTTGTAATAGTATAATGAACTATGGGCAACCTTGATATCTCTACACCCTCTTCATCCATTATTTTGTAGAAATTTTCACTGAGTTTATTGTCATCAACATCAAGATAAGCATTGATAGTGTAACAAAGTTTACCATTTTCATAGTCCCAACATATAACAGTGCCATCGCCAGAAGAACTTGTCAAGAATTTGTCATTATGAGGCAAAATTTCTATGTGATTTACAAACTCTTTATGTCCCAAACAATATGTTTGTATATTATATGTATTAGGATAACAAGAAACTCGGATTTTTTCATCTCTGTCACATGTTATTATGTATTTGTTGTTATAGGTTTGTAACACATCTAAAAGTAAACTCAAATGGCCTAGAAGTTTAGTGCCTGAATTACCATCTATGAAATCGTAAATTAAAACGTCACCACTTTTATCAGCTACTAAAATGTTGGCATTATCTGAGGAGAATCTAATCTTGCTAGCGCTCCTTGGCAGTATGAAACACTTAAATTCTGTCATTTGTGGTAAGTCGTAGATGATGAGCTTTTTTGAAACTGAAGTTATTATTGCTAAATATTTGTTATCCGATGATAATGTAATATCACAAATGTGATCATCATTTTCCTCCGGCTTCTTTGAGATATCAAAGTAACTATGTTCTTTGTGGTTATAACAGTCAAGGTGTAAGTCCCTTGCAACGATTAACAAAAAATTATTAGCTGCTATACAACTCATCGTTTTTCACGTCTTGTTATTGTAGTAGTTAAAGAAAGGTACGAAGCTAAATTCTTCTTCTTTTTTAATTAGAGAATTCAACGAACGAAGCACGAGAAGTAATTTTTTTTGGCTGACATTTTTTGTTCTCATGGAAAGGCAAAGGCACCTATATATATGCCATACAGCCAAGACAAAAGTAGATGTTTCTCTAGATTTTGTTTTTCTTTTTATTTAAATATCTTGTACTGTATTTTGAATACATTTGTAGAGGTATTTTGTTCTCTACAAATATATTAAAAATACAGTACACTGGGGATTTTTTAGAAGTTCCGATAACGCAGGCGGGATATTATCTGCTTTCTTGTAGATTTCCAACAAATTATTGGTTAAAATCACCCGTTGTAATAAGAAGTGTGAACATTCAAAAAAGATATGATCCAAACTTTGATTGCTAGAATTTCAAAAGTTGCATGATGGGGAGGAGATCATGCGCATTCTATACAAGTACTCATTAAATCTTCCATGTCCAATACGCAATCTACATATCGACGCTTAAGAACCAAGACCATCTATCTACACTTTTGGCGATTTTGACTTTTTAATGCAGTTCTTTTCATGGTTAATTTATGCATCGTTTCCTTTAATCGATTATTTCAAATTCGCAATATATAAGGAGTTATGAGAAAATACCAATACCACCTTAGTTACGTGTCGTAATAATTGTATGGAAATACCACCTATCTACATAACACGTAATTATTCGTTCTTATTGCGAGTTGCAAAATGAACTGTTATGCGTTACACCATAATAGGCCCCATACATAGGCCCTACAGATTCACGCCGAGAAGTCCCAACACCCGAGACACGAGAATGTGATAAGTTTCTCGCCTTCTTGTTCTCGGGTTCGCATCTTCTCTGTTTGTTGTCGATTTTTTGCCCGCTTTAAGAGATGCCACTCGTCCGCCGAGATGAAGGCCGGTACACTCTCCCTCAACCAAGCTTGGGTGCTTTTTGCCTTATGGGATGGCGCCGAGTCTTGCTAAACCCAATCCTTATTATGAAATAACGTCTCAGACAGGGGTTTCACCACAGGCTCTAAAATGTCACTCTGATAATTCTTGGCTTTCACCTCGACATCTTTTTGGCAGAAATGGAGCGGAGTGACGCCTTTTCAATTCAATTTCCAATTTCGTATGAAGAAGTGCGCGAGAGATTCCTTCAGAGGAAGTTTCCGATATGCAGCTTCCAAAATTTGGAACAACATTCCTCTGCCTTTGTGCATATTGTGATACTTTGCTTACTTTTAAAAACCACTCGCGTAGATATTTAATGAATGCGCAGCAAGGACTGGGTAATATCAACATGGATATTTCTTATATATAGGTTTCTTTCTAACGTTAATACATAAACTTTCGCATTTATAACATCTGTAGGATATTGTGTGATGCAGGCTGAATGTTGTGGTGTGGCTTTTTCTCTTCCATTTGATTGTGAACTATTCTAGTCAATGGTTATAGGTGCTCTTAAATCAAATTGAATTGCATTGTGGTTTATTTGTAGGTCTTCAATTTAATAGCAGCGTTTTACCTACCAATAAAACGCATATTAAATTACTTACCTTATTAATGAGGAACAAAAAGCGGAGCGCAGAATAAAGCTTGTATTTGTATGTGTCATTATGCATCCACGAAACGAATGATATTAATATAAATATCAAAATCAATTCAATCTATGTTGTTACATAGTACTTGTGATAGTCGAAAACTTTGCTAATGGTTCGCAAAACTAAGGAGATTTTGTACTGACAAATTTAAAAAAACCTCTGTGCTCACTTCCATTATGTAAGTTTTCATTTTCCTCTTTACAAATAAAGAAAATATATATTCAAAGATTACTTTGTATTAATCAAGTGGCGTTTGCATAACTCAAACTTATTAAATTTCAACTCGATATTAATCCGAGTTATCAGATCCATAACAACACCGACAATTCTATTCTCTTTGGTTTAATATCATGAATTGACGTTTAGATCCAACAATTTGTGCTGCCATCTAGTGACATAAATTTTTGTAGTTTCTTTTTTTTAAATACTTCCTCATTTTAAATGAAGTAAATTATTTTTGGTTATGTCGATGAATAAACTTAAAAAATAGAAGTTTATTAATTAAGAATTACACCGAGCATTTCATTTTCATTTTACATGTAGAAATTAATTTATTCACTTGACATTGGCAGAATTGTGCGAAATGCGCATATTAGCCATTAATAAAATAAGAAGAAGATAATCACACCTCGGCATTTCAATATTTAATTGTAATTATTCAGAAATAAACTGATACAAATAACTTGCATGAATGGTAAAAAAAAAACAGTATTTATTCTCTTATTTACAAGAATCATTTAATCGTCACAACAAATGACGCAATGTCAACGGATACATACAACAAACCATAAATTACAAATATATATATTTTCTTTATCTATTGAGGAGCGGCGAAGGAAACTGAGTACATATCCATCTAGCGGGTTTATGAGTAATTACATGAAAAATTTACATTTCTTTACATGTGTTGAGTAGCTAATGAGGAAGTATTAAAAAAACATTAGTTCCCGAAATTAAACTAGATGGCGTTATGGTACCGTCTTGATTTCTCCATGAAAACACATCCGGTTTTCTTTCATGTTTAAAAGTAAATTAGTTTTCAAAACTCAATAAAGAACACATATTCCATTTGTACTTTTTCGTATTTGTATTGATATCTAAGTTTCGAAGTTCAAATTTCAGTTTCTTAATATGTTAATTAAAAGAAACGGAAATGACTGGCTTAGGTCCATTTGTTTCCTGCAAAAATCAACTTTTGCTAGAGTCGCCATCTAGTGGAGGTGCTTTTTAGTGCTTTTTTTGACAACCCCTCATTGTAAATAATTTTATGTTTGAATCGAAACAGAAAATAATCGGATCTTTTAGAGGGTGAAATATCGATTCAACAGCATTCATAGTCAATTAAAAAAAAGATTTTTCTGGTTTAAGAAATCGATTCTTTCGTAATCGATCTCATATCGCATGCCTATTTAGTTATAGAAATATAGATTTTAGATATCTACTAAGTCTGTGAATATAGTCTCGCGCACAAACTACATCTCGCGAGACCGTGTTGTATATTCCATATATATATATATATATATATATATATATAAACCAATAAAAAATATTTTTTTGTAGAAACTTAACTTTGAAAAATTATGGTAACTTCTTGGAGTCCAGACAAGAAGCACAGTGATGTGGAAAGGTAGACATATCAACCAAATGTTTATTTTTGAGAAAACAATACATATCAATTAAATAATTTATTTAATAATGATGAATTATCGATTTATTTACAGATGGATATGTATTTATCCTGCATATTTAAATAGCAAAAAATCACTTGCCGAAGGACGAAAATTATCAAAGGTATACTGCGTTGAAAATCCAACACATCAGGAAATTCGTGACGTGTTAGTAACCACCGGACTGCATGTTGGTGTTGAAAATAAATTATATCCACGAGAAAGAAGTAAAGTAAGTTAATTTTGATGCACTTGTAAAGAATTTGCCTTATATGTGAGGTAATCATGATGTAATTTGTATTTATTGGCATATTGGTTGAGACCACAGAGGATAACTGGCTTTCCTTAATAATGAAATTAGGTCAGGTAAGGACTTGAACAAATAAAAAAAACCTCTATAATCTGAAGATGTCTTATTTTGCTTGGTAAGATTTGTGGAACCATGGTAATGCACAGGCCATACAGAAGTGCAGGTAGCTGCTGGGAAAGTTTTTCATTACTGTTTTAATACTTCTCCAGGCTGTAGTTTAGCAGTTTATATTGGCTGTCTTATTTAATTTTATGATTGACTATTTTATGTGATAAAGTGCTTATTCCTTAACTTTCTTTGGTTGATAAAATCGAGGAACAACTGATTTACTTTTCATTTGACAATACCTTGTTTAATTTACAGGAGATGTTGTACAGAGGAAGAATACGAGTTCAATTGAGGAATGATGATGGATCACCTATAAAAGATGATTTTCCTACTAGAGAATCTGTTATGAAGTTTATTGGTGAATCTATACCTAAGTTGAAGACTCGACAGAATAGGTATAATAATACATGTATTCTATATATATCAATGCTGAGACTGTGAATGACTATTGACTATTAATATTAACTTATGATGCAGATAGTTGATTTAAGTTCTACATCTTGTAACTAATTAAATCTTGAGATTGTATCTAAAAAAAAAATATATGCAGCAGTGGCATAGCGTGGGTGTTTTTTGCTGCCCCTCTTAATTAAGCATTTTATATAATTATACTATACATTATATACATTAATTTTAAAGAATTTTTCGGCAAGAACTGAACAATCCAAGCACAAAATAAAATACCAGGAATCCTCATAAGTCAGTATAGATGGTGTTGCCATTCACTACAAAGTATCATTTAAAGAAAGAGTGGAAATCATGGCTTATTTTAGTTCTTGCATATTTAGGAAAAATTAATTAATTGATTAGACCAACGTGTGGCTCTGAATTGCACGGGGTCCATAGCATTTGCTACCTTTGCTATGTGGCTAATCCGGCACTGAGTATAATAGTCATCCATTTATTAAAATTTGTAATCTTTGTAATTTAGTATGTATTTATGTCGTCAGAATTATATGAGTGAAGTTCTTTTTTTTTTAAAGATAATAGACTACCTTCTATTAAACCATTGGGATTAACACTCTTAGGTTATATCAATTTAAATAGTTTTATTATTATATACAGTTGCCAAGGAGCACCATAGAAGCATGCTTATGTAGTCAACCATTTATTTCAATTACCATACTGTCTCCCTTATTTTATGTGGTAATGCTGTGTGACTAATAATAATTAATTTAAATAATATTGCAATGTTTCATCAAACTGTTATACCTATTTGTTTTTTAGGTTTTTATCTAAATCATCATGTACACAATTGTCTATGAAAATTTTAAAGTAATAGATAAAAAATGTTTTCCTATTTCAGACCTGCTGAGCAACAACCACAAACTACTCATCAAGCTGCTAGCAAAAGCAAGGGAAAGAAAGGACGACGATAATTACAAAATCTTGTATATTTAATTATATTTGTTTCTTAAAATATAAAAATATTTATACTTAAAACTAAAATATAGTTTCTAATATTATAACATCTCTAATATAAATTGCTTTTTCCACTAACTTTTTCCTCTTATGTATGAATATGAATAGTTTTTTCTGCTAACTTATTTTTACCATTTTTATCTCTGGCAATACTATATCCATCTATAATAGTTACTGTAGGCGTTTCCATCTTAGGCTTTTTTTGAAGAGCTAGATTTAAATTAGATAGGTCTTTTAGAGAAATCATGTCTTCATTTCCTGGACTAGCTTCTTTATCTTCAATGGAATTTGTGCTACTTCCGCCAGTGATTCGTTGATCACTGGTGTTAACGAATGAGACATAGTTGATGCTTTTCTCATAATCTTTTTTGGATTGTATGGGCTTTTTGCTAAGGTCATCTTCAATTTTGGGTACAGGTCTTCGTAATCTTCGAACATATTTTGGTACAAAGTTTTCGCTTTTTGTTTCGTTTGCTCTAACTTCGAGCTGAGTTGTTCCTGTATGTTCCATCTCTGGGCTTCCTCTAAAAATGTCGTTGTCTTCTTCTTCTTTTTCATACTTTTCTCTCTTGTTGGCAGCTCTTCGATCGATCGGAATATCGGCATTTCCTCTGTTCTGTCTTCTATATTCATTGCTACTTGCATGGTCTCGTGGATTACTGTTGGTAATTTTTTTATAACGTTCTGTACTGGATTGTTCGTCTTGGAATTTGGAATGATGTTTACGATTTCTAATATTCCTGGCGATATTTCTTTCAAAGCTTCCGTAAAATGCGGGGCTGCTTCCCTCATCGTGTCCATGACTGTTTCCCCTATCGCCAAGGGAATTTCTTGGAAGTAATATGGGTATGTCCTTATTCTGTCGGATACTGCTGATGTCACCCAGGGTAGTATCAGGGGTTGCCGTGGTGGTAATCGTGCTCTCAGCGGGGGCAGTCTTGGTAAGAATAGTTGTCTTTTTGTGCGTTCTAGTTCCTGCGATTTCGGAATCTGACTGTAAAGCGCATTTACATACGATCCCTGGTCTCTTTTCAGGCTGGTACTTGTGACGTTTCTGTTTACTTTTACTGACTTCGTAGGAGTCGACGGGCTCAGAATTGAGCAAATTATCAAGTAGCAAACCCAAATTCTTAAGGATTGGAAAGTATTTTTTGTTATATTTGTCATTATTGAATATTTCACGTTTCTTAAAACTATTTCGTCGTAGATGAAATGGCCTCAGAATGTGTTTTGACTTTTTCGCTTTATATACGCTTTTAATATGATTATTTTTGTTATATTTTGATAGGGAAAGCTTATCCGCCAGAAACTTATCTGAAAATGAAATTTTGGTTAGTTTATGAAGTAGGTATAGGTATAAAACTAGGAAATAAACTTATATAAGATGCATTTTAAATGATTATTTAATCAGTGTTAATTATAACATTAAGTGTTAATTATAACATTAGGTATTAATTTGGCTCATATCCCTCTCCCATAATTTGGTAATATTATTTTGTCAGTGTATTAAAATTTTAGTTTAGTTTAAGGGCGGGTGGGTCCCGTCTTCAAGTCAGTGCACAAAACTTTTCTAAGTAGCCACTTTTCGACCACGTAAAAATTATCTATAAACAATATCATTCAAATCTCTTATCCTTTCGTATTTAAATGCCTATGTATTTTATTATTTCAATGGTTGTCCTGCCCATAAGGAGTTGACACATGCGCTCTGCATCCGTCTTTGTTACATTTTCTCAAGAAATCACTTAACTCACCTAACTTGTGTTTTGTAGGAGTTTCTGTTGTTAAAACTTTATTTAGAGAGAAGCGTTGAGCGGTCGTTTCTGAAAAAGCAAAACATATCTGATAAACAATATTGTGGTTGTCAATATTTTCACCTAGATATATTATTGATTTCCACAAAAATGCCATAAAATACAGGATTGTTACCAGCTCTAGTACGTTGATATGTTTGAAGGTATATGCATAGAGTGCTCAGTATGGGTTTTTTGACGTTTACGTACAGTGTAGATCCTAAGCACGTCAAGATCTATCAAGAATCTATCAAGAACTGCAACTCTCGATAAAATCGCCATTCTGGTTACTAGCAGTGATATATACAATATATATTTTTTAAATTTATTTATTCGCACAAGGATCACTCAGTCCAGATGCACATTGAAATAAATAGTAATAAAATTAAAAATTTTATAGTAATCTTTTAGGGTATTTTTTTTGGGTCGGAGACCTAAAAATAACTCTTTAATTTTTGGGTCTAAATAAATAAAAATAATTTTAAAATTGGATTGAATTCTCGTGGAAGCCATAAATTACAACTGTTTCATAGACCGGTTCGCCTACTGCTATGACAATTTTGCTTAGCCAAGCTTATTTTTATTTTAAAAATATTTTTTTAACAAAGAGTACTGCTGGGACGCCACTTAACTGTAGCTTTGATTATAGCCATAGGATATATCAGACATTTTAGCGATGCTATATTTTGATATTTCGTTTCATTTTCCACTTAACATGTCTTGTTGGATTAATCTATATATATATATATATCTACATAGTATAAAACAAAGTCGCTTCTTTGTTCCTATATGTATGCTTAAATCTTTGAAACTGATTTTGATGCGGTTTTTTTTCATTGATAAGGTGATTCAAAAGGAAGGTTTTTATGTATAACTAGTGGACGCCCGCGACTTCGTCCGCGTGGAAGTCGGTATCCCGTGGGAGTGAGAAGTTTTCCCAGTAAAAAGTACCCTATGTGTTATTCTGATGTATAACCTATATTGCTGTAAAGTTTTATCCAAATCCGTCCAGTAGTTTTTTCGTGAAAGAGTAACAAACATCCATACATCCATACTTACAAACTTTTATAATATTAATAGGATACAAGACCACGGGGGGAAGCCGCTGGCGGAAAGCGAGTATATATATATGTATGTATCTATGTGTTCCTTATTGGCAGGACAAGGTTTGTACATAAGAAAATTTATATAAAGATATGATAAAAAAAACGCGGTACGAATTTCGCCGGGTCAGCTAATATAGGATAAATTATTAAGTTGGTAACACTGTTATTAAATCCATTATTATCATTCTTTAGCGTTCGTTCGTTGTTACGTCAAACTACACATCAAAGAAGTAAAATGAAACAAAATGTCGTCATAACATCGATAAGATGTATCCTATGTCTAGAGAGTTAGGCGGTTGCTCTGCTGATCGTTAAAACCGTGAACATACCTGTGGATATGGGTGAAGATGTATCTAAACTTCTCAGTTGCGATTCTGCTGCGAGGGCCTCGTTCAAGGAAAATGTCTTGGTCACTACAACTGTAAAAGAGTAATGATACTTTGTTTTAATTCTCAGTACAAGAATAAAGAAAAAATAATTTACTAGATAACATAAAGATAAATAATTTTCTGTCATTTTTTAAAGTGTGCAAAAGTTTGAAGTAACAGTGTAAGATCGCAAGGCTAGAGGCAGTAGATTTAGAGAGTTGCTAGATACTAGAGGTACCTGGTGAACGCAAAACATTTTGTATTAGGTAATTAATCGATACTTATTACGACTAGGTCAGCGCCGGTTTATGGAATTTGTCGCCTTAGGAAAGATGAAACACCGGAACGACGCCCCTAAAAAATGACTAGTAGGAACATCGATTAAACACTGTAATTTTGCCAACGACAAAAGAAACTCCTTAGGTACTACTGGTCTAGAAATTTTGTTCTTTTGAATCTCGCAGACATGGACTCATGGTCGAAGAACAAAAGAACATAAGATAGGATACATTGTTAGCCATGTACCTAATAATAATATGGTTGAAGGCCCAAGGTATTTATTTATTTGTGCAGTCGCATGATAGGGTATCAAATAAAGAGGTTTATGAATAAAGATACGAGACTAATAAGAGATGGCAGTGTATATCTTTGATCGCTCTCGTATTAAATGAAAAGGCCTAAAAAGAAATAATGAAAATATGTTTCAGAAAAAAAGGTGAACAAAATCTTTTTGCGCTAAAAACCAAAAAAAAACTGAAATAAATCTTATTGATGATTTTACGCTACATTAAATTATTTATACAGGGTCCGTTAGTAGTTTCTTCAAATATATTTTAATAAATAAAGTACTTTTTAACTTATTCCGCGCATTACACATTTTCTCGCCTTTATATATTTGACTCATTCCTGTAGTGCTATTCCATTATAAGCCTCACAATAATATAGTCACAGCCTCGAACGCATCATCAAACGCAGCGCTGTCACGTCACACAGCTGTTCAATTAAATAAAACCTACTTCAAAACGAACATTCTCAAGAAATCCCGATCCCCCGCAAGGGACACGGCGTGAAGATATAAACAGATACTTTAGCCGACCTTCCTATTTCTAAATGAATTAAACAGTGAACTATTATCTCTTTCCCTAATTAGTTTGTATAGCACGTAGGTACCGAAAAGTTTCGTTAGATAATCCGGGGTACGTTGTTTTTTATCTAAATAGATAAATAGCAAATAGGTGTAGGCACAATGGCGTAGAATATAGGTATATTAATCTAAAGTGATATCTCTACTCCAAAGCACACACTAATACTGTTTAAACGTATGTGACGTCACAACAACTGATATTTTTAGTTCTGATTTCAGATAGGCATGTTTATTTATTAATCTGGAGGCAACGGAACAATGTTACCTTTTCCTGAAATAACGTCTTATGATTTTAACGTGACATCGAAATATTATTAGAACTTTCCCTGTTATTGCAAGTCCTTGGTCCTTTTCGGTAAACGAACGTTCGATTATAGTTTAGGAAAACTTCGACTATACGTGAAACTCCTGTAATATTTATTTAGTCCCAAACTTGTATGGATGTGTAGGGAAAGAAGGTAGCGTCACGTACATAAATTAAATAGATTTATAAATATATTTACTTACAAGGTAATAATATACAGTTAATGATGATGTACCAATTCCAGTTTCTTATTTCCATTTTCACACATTTTCTCCACAATAATAATGTAAGACTGTCACCGTCAAACTGC